CACACACACACACACACACACACACACACACACACACACACACACACACTGAATACTTCACAAAGAATTATAACCGCACACCCAGAAGAGATAAGTGGTGGCGTCAAACACGCAACAAATAAGTAAATGACAGATTGGATCGTGTGTGTTTAAGTGCGTACACATCTGTCTGAATCAAACACAACGACAGGGATGATGGATAAGAGGACACAGCATGACAGGTTAGTGAACAAATATGACCGATCAGACACCATTGCATTCACAATGAAGCATTATCAGGGAAATAAATATCATGCACAAGAGTGTTTAACCACAGGTGTGTAGGACTAGTTTGCACATGTGCAGTAGTGATCGGTCAGGATGTACAGCAGATGTTTTTGTTCCTGTGTAGCTTAAATGAGTTTATGACACTCACTGGTCCTAACCCCAGCCCCTCATGCTGTGTGAGTGTTTTCTTACATTGTGTCCGGTCTGAAGTGGTGCAGCAGGGCGCAGAAGGCCAGTCCGTTCCTCCAGGAGGTGGTGAAGTTGGTGATCTTTACCCCGCGGTAGTTCTTGGTGACCTCGCGGCACCAGACCAGCAGAGACTGGCTGGCGTTGGGCTTTCCTCCCAGAACCGGGCTCGGGACGGGGCTGGGCTGCAGGCGGAGGAGGGATGGGGGATATAGAGGGGGAAGAAGGTTTAGAATTGAATCTTATGGAATATTTCACCTTCACGGTCTGAGTTGCATCGATGCGACATGTTGATGTCCGATTGATAAATAAGAGCTGCTCTTTCGGGTCACACAAGGACAATAAACATGAATAATAATGTGCAATATAACACAAATGATAAATTACTTTAATGTGTTTTTCTATTGGTATTAGAGAAAAACACACCTGTTCTCCAAAACCCTTATTACTTTGCACAAAAGACTGTCCACATTGCCAACCTCCCCCTTTTTCCCCAACGTCTGAGCTCCTTGGATTATTTAATAAAATGTTTTACTTAACAAACCTCCACCCTTCCAATTAGCTAGCTATGCACGCGCACGCACACACGCACACACCCAGTAATGAAGGGTCCTGCACAAAGCAGCGTATGACCGTGGATAATGTAAACATCTTATTAATTAGCCCCGCCTTTGAAGTCTTATCTGGGTTCGAAAGCTTTTCGCCATTAGGAGCGTCTCCTCTCCCAGACTCCAAATCCCACAAATCCTCGGTGGCGTGGAGACACCGGTCCTCCCGACTGACGTCCAGCAGAACCAACGCTATTCTGATTATTCAGCCGGCTGTTCTCTAATCTGTGTCGTGGAGCGACAGATACGGGCTAATGCTCTCAGATCAGTTGGGAGAGAAATGGCAAAAAATAAAAAAGAATGTCACCGAGATGTGATTAAATTCATTAGAGGCCAGTGATCAACACAACACTGTGAAATACGTTCAAATATTTCTATTATATGCAAGACAACGACATCAACATGCGACTTAATTTGGATTGCATGACACAGTGCGTTTAAGGCTTTGATGTCGATAATATGATGTTTTAAATACACATTTAGGAAAATATACAGAGCGGTTTGGTTGAATTGCATTTAAGACACAATCCCTGAAGGATATTTAAGACGTTTTTAATGCTTTCTGTTAGGTGAATATGGCTGATTATGTACTTTCTTGAACAATATTAACTCAGATGACAACAGCCCGGTGACGTTTGATCTCAAAGCACCAGAAGTAAAACCTTGACCTTGACCTTTTAGCAGTGAGAAGTGAATGAAGAGCTGATATTGAGCACCATAACGAGTTAAACCCCGTCGTTAAAAGACACTGAAGGCCCGGAGAAAACACACAGCTCACTACGATGTGACTTCCTGAGTCTGTCATGGCCGACCAACCCCCTCTGTTGGCAGCTTCCTGCTACTGCAAGAACAGGAAAGAGAGAGAAGTGATGGGAGGAGAGACTTTGTCATCAGTGACGGTGTCTTGAAGCCTTTTGCAGAAGCTTATTCAGAGACGTAGGAAAGAAAAAAGTGACTGTTTGATTTAGGAAGTAAAAAGTTAAGGAATTGATTGGTTTGATGACATCACTACGAGAGAGAGATATATGCTTCAGCTTAATGCCACCACACTTAAACCTAATTTTAAGATTGTCTGAACTAAATATTTAACACCGACTCTGTGTGCTTTCAAGCCTCTGACAAGACATGTGGCTGTATTTGCTGTCGACAGATTTTTAAGACACTAAAAAAAAAAATTGGTTTGTAATGTAAACAGGCAAAAAAACACAAAAAAGAGTGAAGCAATGTGAGAGAAGTGTTTAAGGCACCTGGATGTCTCTTGCTCTTCTATTGTTACAGTTTAACCTGTGACCACGAAAAACCCGGAGCACTCTGAGATGCCACAAGGGCCAAATCAGATGAAAGAGACCCGGAGGCCATCTCTAATAGCAAACTCCTAACCTTTGTACCAGTGTGTGTGTGTGTGTGTGTGTGTGTGTGTGCGAGTGTGTGAGTCAGTCTCTGTACAGGGAGACGGTAGCGTGAGCCTGAGGGGCGGACACTTGACATTTCCGGCTCATCTGTTAAAAGTGGGCCTTAACCTTTTCCCCACAGCTTCTCCAGACACGTTTTAGGCGGCCTCGACAATGCCTGCATGCCACTCAGACAAACCCAAGATAGGAAGTCAGAAAGTCGATACCGATTATAACGCGGGCGCACTTACTGTACGGGGATGAGGAGAGGAATTGCTCATCAGTTAACGTTAATATACGAGCGACTAATCTCACGTAATATGTTCAGAATAAGAGATAATTTACGTCCACAAGAATGTCATCCTGTTGGTAAAGCAGAGGACAACTGGAGGAACAAGTTTAGTTCAGACTGCCAACGTTTGTGTGTGTGTGTCAGTAAAACTGTGTGTGTGTGTGTGTGTGTGTGTGTGTGTGTGTGTGTAGAGTTTCAGAGTGGAGTGGTCTTCCTCCAGGCCTTTCCCCCTTTCTGCTTTTTTCAAGTGACGGTTGAAAGTAGCCGTCTAATTTGAGCGCTCTAATTACCTGGGATTAGAGACCAGGTGCTATTAAAGCAATTAGACACACACACACTCCAGTGCCGGAGACCCTGCACCCAAGCCAGCGGAAAAACACACACACACACACACACACACACACACACACACACACACACACAGCCAGTGGAGGAAAAAACAACAGCACATTAGCCAGTGGGATACACAGACTTTTAAAAGGTACACTCTCTAATACACACGCACCTATCGACACAGAAAACAAACACACACACACACACACACACCACCGTGAGCACACACTGCTACGAGGAGGTGAAGTGTTATTTACTCAACTTTGGGCGCTTTTAAAACATTTGTTTAACCCGTGTGTCATCTCAAAGACGAGTCCTTCCTTCCGACCTGACAAACCGGTTTTATTAGAACGAGACTAGCAGTGACCTCGACGTTCATCACAACACAAACCGATGTCATTGTCCCCAATGCGACAGCTGTTCCATTACGCTCTTTTACAGATAAAAGGTTCAAATGTTGAACAAATACCGAATCTTCTTCAACAGGAACTGGCTGCAATTTCCTTCAGACACAAACACAGGAGGAGTGAAATGTTCATGAGGAACAGAAATGCACCCCGACTTATCAAACAGTTTGCTGTCTTGCCTGAAGGAAGGTGTGCACATGTGTGTGTGTGTCTTTTATCTGTCTGTGTGAATGTCACCAGGATGTGTGTGTGTGTGTGTGTGCAACACTGACACATCCATGTAGCCAGCTCGGCTCGAGGGTAGGATTAGCGGAGCGCATCGCCTCGGCCCACAAACATTCCATATTAAAAAATGAAAAGGCAACCTTCATTACTATCAGTGGCACATAACCTCCTCCTCTGCTGCTATTATACACAGCCCTAACAGCCTGGGCGGACAAATACAAGCCACTGACAAGAGATTCCATTATTCCTGATGCCTCGGTGTCAACAACATACATCCGACGGGGCAAAGAAAGAAAAAAAAAAAAATGGAAGGACGGAGGGGGGGAAGGAAAGGATGTGAAAGAGAGAAAGAAGGAGGGTTAAGCTCACTACAATGCCTGAATGACAAGATAGGAGGAAACCTGGGAATGGAAGCAGCCTGGTTCTGTTGTCAGGAGGGTTTCTGGTGTCAGCAATGTGGTTTTTTAGGAGGGTTGGGAATGAGATCTGGAATCATGGGATGAACCATGATATGGAAAATTTGAAAATTGTCAAAGGTCGAGCTTCGGTGTTGAGCAAGAGAACAATTCTGAAGCGAGGTTGGAGAATGTTCCCTTTAGATTTGGGGAGTTTGCCGATATCCACTGTTACTGTACGAGGGCAGAAGATATATAAAATACCTTTTAGAGCAACTCACTGTGAGTAAAAGTACCACATAACGGTAGATCTCTCTAGCAACATCACACATGGTGTAAAATCCTGCAGCATATGTGCATTACAGTACTAACTAAATACTAGATGCTTTATGACGTGAAACTTGTTCATTTAGATTCTCAATTACAAAATAAAGTGATTCATGGAATTAAATGAGTTCATGGCTTCCCCCTGTTAGTAGTTTAGAAGACTCATCGGTTGTTTTGGTCTTTTCTTAGTAAATTTGTCTTATTATTGGTGATTTTTTCATGCTGAAGAAACAAACATCTCTGGTAAACACAAGAGTGAAAGTGGTGCTTTTGTGTAAGTCTTTGTGGAGAATCTTTTTAAGATCTGAATCAAATAATCGATTAAGGGACAACATTGTATGAGTGTTAGTTGACTAAGAATGTCTTTGGTCAAGGACAACTGTAAATAACTTTTTATTAAATAAATTTTCTTCAATGCATATAACTCGTCAGTGCTGCCTCGTCTTTGTCTGCAGTAAGCGGAAGAGTTAACAGTTTTTTGACAGCGGTGAAAATGCTTTTAAAAAGCTAAATGCCAAAAAATATGGATTGAAGCAGAACATTTCATTAGATACAAATATGTTGGGAATTTGAATTATTATATCACATTCCATCACATTTTTTTCAACCATTTCTGACTTCTGGACTGAACGCTCTGCAGTGATTAGAAATGTTTGGACACAATCCTACGTCGTCACCACTGGACTCTACTTCTACAACGAGTATAACACTTTGAAACACTACGGAGCCCGTTTGTAGAAGGTACCAACAACGGTATCTTCACTTCCTGTCTCTCCTCTCAGTGAAACGTGAGAGCGGAGGACATTAATGATTTTAGCGATGCGTCGGCGCTCCACGTTCAAATGTTGATTTAGAATTTGTATGTCAATGTTATGAAACTACTCGGTACAGCACTACAATAACATATCAGACATAAATATTAATGTTTACCTAAAAGTTAAATATATACGGATACACCCTATTGTACTTTTGTATTATATACACCGGCTTTGTACAGTATACTGGTTTGTATGTGTGTATTTTTATGTATATGTGCAGATTGTTGCTGCTTCTTTGTTTTGTATGTAAAGCTTGTGAACTGGTTTTGTGTGAAATGCTGCGATACAAATAAATGAGAACCGACTTGTCAAATAGGCCTGAATCTAAGCTGCTGTATATACTTAATATACTGAAATATTAACATGTATAATACTGTACATGTCCACCT